AACAAAGTCAAGGTCAGAGAGAGATCAATGGGCTGGAGCACATGCTCTACATGTAGAAGGCCTCTGTTTAATATTTGACACTGGATGGCCCCCCAAACACCACCAGGAGTGACCCCTGAGCATGGAGATAGGAGTAGTCCCTGAGGATGGCCAGGAGTGGCCCAACATTAAAAAAAAAATTTTTTAATTTTTTAAAAATCCAAGGTAAATTGGTAACAAATAAGGTCCATAATAAGAAACAAGCACTTTCATACAGCACAGAAGGTACTGGCCTTGTATCAGATAAGCCGGGTTCAGTTCCCAATACCCCATGATCTCGCAAGCACAAATAGCCAGGAATGATCCCTAAGCACAGAGGCAGGACAAAGCCCTGAGCATAGCCACGTACAGCTCAAACTGCTCCCACCCCCAAAAAAGAAAAGAAAAACACTTTCATAAGAAAAATAATGCATAACAGTCCAGAATATTATTGTTGCATTTCGGATTTTTAGTTCCACAAATAGTAATTTTTATTCTACTGATACTTGAATGCTAGTAAAAAATCTAAATGGCTATTAAAATTAAAAATTTCAACAAGTAGATAATTTAAACATTTCTGTGTGTGTGTGTGTTCAGATTAGAATTACCTTCCCAAAGTTTTAGCAATTAGTCCATACCACCCTGGGCCTTCAAGGAAGATAGGCAAGTCATCTTCTTTTGAGACATGTGCTCCTTCCTGTTTTTGGACAACTATGCCTGGAATTCTGGGATGAAATAAGCCACAATAAAGAGCTACTACCAAACCAGAGACATAGCTCAATAAGCTAGAGCTCATGTTTTTCTTTTTAACCTTTTTATTGAATCACTGTGACCTAGACCATTACAAAGCTGTTCATGATTGGATTTCAGTCATACAGCATTCATTCCAACATCCATCCCTCCACCAGTGTACATTTCCCAGAATCAGTGTCCCTAGGTTCCCTCCCATCCTGCCTGCTTCTATGGTAGGCGCTTTTCGTTTCTGTCTCTGTCTTTGTCTATCTGTCTGTGTATCTCTCTCTCTCTCTCTCTCTCTCTCTCTCTCTCTCTCTCTCTCTCTCTCTCTCTTTCTCTCCCCCCCCCCCTCTTTGGGCATTGTGGTTTGCAATATTGATACTGAAAGGTTATCATGAATATCCCTTACCTACTTATAACCTTCAGATCTTGTAGAGAATAATCTTTCCCAGCTATTATTGTCATAACTGTTTCTTCTCTATCTAACCTGCCCTCAGCCCCACACACACTTGTGGTTAGTTCCAACCATTGACTAATCCTCCTAACCCCTGTTTTCCCTGGCCATGGATATTATTCTTCTATTATATATAATTTTTATATCCCACAAATGAATGCAGTCATTCTATATCTGTCCCTTTCCCCTGACTCATTTCACTCAGCATGACACTCTCCATGTCCATCCATTGCTGCAATGACAGGAGGCAGGCTGTGGTGCTCACACATTTTTGCTGTGATGTTCACTCAGTGGTTGCACAACTTAGTCAGAGTGTTTCTTTAGTTGTGGTGCTGGCACATATGCTCAGCAGGGACCAAACTCTTTATTGAGGCATACAGATCATGCTTGTGCTCACTGAAGGCTGCTATAATGCTTACACAGGTGTTCCCCAGAGGTTGTACTTCCTAGTCATGGCATTCACATAGCTTTGTACTTCCTGGTCATGGCACCATGGCACTCAAACAACATTTTCTTTTGTAGTTGTAGTGTTCATTGGGGTCCCATATCCCTTTTTGTGTTGTTTATACATACCTCTTTGGAGTGCAGTCATAGATCAATTACAACATCAGTGACCGCAGAAAACAAAGTTGGTAGGCTTAAATCAAGTAGAAGTGTCCGAACCACACTTTGCATATGCATATGCAAGGTACCAGGTTTGAACTCTAAATCCCTGCAGTACTCCTTAATAAATATGAGTTTATTTTGATAGCACTTTAAAAAGATGTATTCCCTCCTTCTATGCCAGTCACATGCTCCACATGTTCAGCACCTGAATACAAACTGCTCCTCTCCCTGATATGATTAATCCAATCCAAATGCACCCAGGAAGGGATCCTGTTAACTTCCTGTTTTCACTTCTGTTCCTCCACACAAATTATACTAGCATTTGACATCCGGTTGAAGAAATAGGATCATCTCATAAGTCATCTCTACACAAATCCAATAGTTTCTCTCTTAGAAGAGTCTCTTGGAGTATAAAGCATATGCCAGTTAATTTTACACAGCAGTTTGGCTATGGGGTACATAGTCTGAACATTACTTCTGAGTGTATCTGTGAAGGTGTTCTGATGAGATTAGCATTTGATATGGGATTCACTGTAAAACAGATTGCTGCCCATCTGTGGGTGAGCATCATCTAATCATCCAATCCACTGAGGGCCTATAATAAAAGGTCAGGGAAGGTAGAATTTGCCCCTTATTTTTCCTTTCTCAGTGTTTGAACTGGGACATCATAGCTCCTCCTCTGTGGTCCTCAGACCAGCTCCCACACAGGCTTCTGGATTTTAACTGAAATACATCAACCAGCTTTCCAACTTGTGACTTCAGGTCTTTTCGTGAGACATAGACTCCATAACCATGTGAGTTAATTACTTTATATATTACATATAATTGTAACAAATGTCACAACAGAGACATTACTGGGCCCACTCGAGCAAATCGATGAACAACAGGAAGACAGTGACAGTGATTACATATAATTATGTGCATTAAGGGTAGTTTAATCTTATATTTATATAATTATATAATATATATGTATAAGCCCTTCTGGCTCAGGTTCTCTGGAGAACTCCAGAGCAAAACATTATAGTTTATACCACTCTAGATAAGGACATCACAAATTTCAGGTAAAAACTAAGTACTTGAGAAATATATACTCAATAAACATTCGGAATTGCACAAGTTATTTATGCTTTGTTGTTATATATTATTATCTGGTTTGGAGTCAAACCAGACAAGAGGTCTCAGGGATTACTCCTGGATTTTTGCCCCGAGATCATTCCTGGCAGTGCTGAGGGGATCATAAGCGTACTATCTCTCCACTCTGAGTTATGGGCTAATGATTGAACCCAGCATGATTAGCTTTCATATGATTTAGAACTATTTGCATTTGAAGTTGGCTCAGTGACAAAGACTTCCAGTGTGAGTTCTGAGGTCTTCTCTCCAGAAATGCTAGATGTTATTAAACTTTAGTGCTAATTAGTAAAGAGTGACCCTCTGGGCTGATGTTACTCCAAGCCCGGGCCCCAAGTATAATGTGCTGGATTTCATCCCAACCTTCTGCTTGGCAGGGCATACCAAGTATTTCTTCTTTCAAGTTGCTCCTGTATCACTTCCAGTAGTTAAACTATTTTGCTAAACTATTAAATTCAAATTTGTTAACATTTGTTAAGAAGCTGGAGAGATAGTACAGTGGGTAGGGTACATACATGCCAACAGGGTTCAATCCCTAGAACACCCTAGGGTCCCCCAGCAACGCCAGGAGTGATCCCTGAGTGCAAAACCAGGAGTAATCCCTGAACAGTGCTGAGTGTGGCCCCCAAACAAAATAAAACATACACTAAAATTTTGTAAAGCATGCTGTTAACTTTTATCATTTGTTAAAGCTATTATGTTAAAACCATTATGACAAATTTACAGAATTCAAAGACCTACTATAAGTTCATTATGAATCATTTTTTTCTAAGCCATTTCTGTATTGACTTGAAAAGTTACCAAAAACAAGTGTTAAAAATTAAGTCGAGGGGCTGAGGTGATAGCACAGCGGGTAGGGGGTGTTTGCCTTGAACTGGCCGACCAGGGTTCAATTCCCAGCATCCCATATGGTCCCCTGAGCACCGCCAGGAGTGATTCCTGAGTGCAGAGCCAGCAGTAACCCTGTGCATTGCCGGGTGTGACCCAAAAAGCAAAAATAAATAAATAAAGTTAAGTCGATTTTTAAAATACTCAGATATCTTTAGATCCAGTTCTTACATGAAATGCATTTCAGATCCTTTATTCTTTCAGCAATAGAGCTGGAAAGAAAACTAACTTCTGCTGCTTTTCCAAGAGGGGATTGTCTTCACATCTTTGATCTATTCATTTGCTCACCCCAACTTTTGAAGTCTTTTCCTGAGTCCATCAGATGTACTCACTACTTGGGGACTCTAACCTCTTTTGTCCTCCCTCCCTCCCTCCCTCCCTCCCTCCCTCCCTTCCTTCCTTCCTTCCTTCCTTCCTTCCTTCCTTCCTGCCTTCCTTCCTGGGACCCTTCCTACCTTCCTTCATCCATCCCTCCCTCCCTCCTTGCCTCCCTCCCTCCTTGCCTCCCTTCCTTCCTTCCTTCCTCCCTCCCTCCCTCTCTCCCTTGGATCCTTCCTTCCTTCCTTCCTTCCTTCCTTCCTTTCTCCCTCCCTCCCTCCCTCCCTCCCTCCCTTGGATCTATCCTTCCTTCCTTCCTTCCTCCCTCCCTCCCTCCCTTGGATCTATCCTTCCTTCCTTCCTTCCTTCCTTCCTTCCTTCCTTCCTTCCTTCCTCCCTCCCTCCCTCACTTGGATCTATCCTTCCTTCCTTCCTTCCTTCCTTCCTTCCTTCCTTCCTTCCTTCCTCCCTCCCTCCCTCCCTCCCTTGGATCTATCCTTCCTTCCTTCCTTCCCTCCTCTTACTGCGAGAAGAGAACCATAAATCTTTCAAACAGTTGAATGACCCCTTTCGGACTTTTGCTCCACAAACTTGAAGAGGGGCCAGGACGGGGACCCCATTACAACTATACAGCAACTGATGGAAGAGCAAATCTCACTCCAATAAAAGGCATCAAATGAAAGCAAAAGTCTATCTTCCCTCCAGCCCAAATCCAAAGCGAAGCAACCTGGTTCGTAGTGCCTGCCAGGGCTGTTCTTCATTTCTTCTTTTTTATTTATTATCATTTTTTTCCTCCCTCCCCATCCCCGAGTGGCTGTCCTTGTCCTTCCCGCCGGGTTACCAATAAAGTTGCTACAAAGTGACCTTGAGCGTCTTCCCTATTGCACGCGATTCCCCGCCTTCTCCATCCGGGTGCCGCGGCGTGGATAAGAGCCGCCCCGCGCCTGCGCGCCCAGCCCCACTCCTTCGACCTCTGCCGCCGCCGCCGCCGCCGCCACCTCCGGGGAAGGTAAGTGCCGGGCGCGGGAGCCGGGCCGGGCCGGGGCGGAGCAGCGGCCAGTGGGGACCCATTCATTGTGCTGTCGCCCGGCTGGGCACGAGGCCCGCACGGACGGGCGTGCACGGGAGCCCCCGGGGACCGCGTCGGGAAGGACAGGCCCCTGGAGGGCACTTGACCTTAAGCCTCTTTGCGCCCCTAGAGAGGAAGCGGGAGAGGAGCCCACTTCGCCTGCCACCCGAATCCTCCAGCAGCGCCGCCCCCGAAGACTGTAAGATGTTTGCCTGCGCCAAGCTCGCCTGCACCCCGGCTCTGGTGCGTAGCCCGGGCTGGGCCTGGGGTGGGGTGAGGGGCATGGGGGAAGGGGGTGGTGGGCCCGGCCTCCTGGCCCGGAGCGTCCACGCTGTTGGGATGGGGCAACCTCCGGGCGGGGCGCGCGGCCGGATCTCCCCGCTCGCCCTTTCGCTCCCCTCCGTCTCCCCCCTCGTCCTTTGCTGCCTGGCTGCAGATTGAGCCGGCCCTGGCCGCCGCGGCCTAGCGGGCGGGCCTCCCCCGGCTGTAGGTCAAGCCCTCCTTGGCCCCTCGAGGCCCCAGGTGGGCCCTTCCCCCCCTCCCCGCGGGCGTGCTTCCCGGCTTGCAGGCGCCTGGTGGTGTCGGGGGGTGCTCCGAGTGCCGCGAGGGGCCTCCGAGGCCTACTAGTCCCCCGCCACGCCGCAGCGGCGCCTGTCTCTAGGTCAAACTCGCTGCTGCAGAGGGAGGGACTTCGCCTGGGTCCGTGTGGGCGGCGGGAGGCCGGGAGCTGGGGGCCCACGAGCTCTCCGCCTTGCCCCGGAACCCGGCTGGCCACCCCAGTTTTGGAGACTTTGGGTGCATCGAAGATTTAGATTACGAGAATCCTGCCGCGGTTCTGATGGGATTTTCTGTGACCTTAGCACAGTGGACACTCAAGGGCAGAGAAGTTGGACTGGAATATGGCCTTATGGTCGGAGTTAGTCGCAGGAATTGCTTCATCTGCTTTTTTTCTTTTTATCGTGAATGCCCATGGGCCTCTCCTGAGGATCGGTGGAAGCTCATTTTCGGGGCTGTTTTTAAATGACAGGCGTTTATCCTGATCCTCACAATCTTTTCTGTTCTTGGTCTATTTCGATTTACTGAAGAATGTGAAGGGTTTTCCTTTTTTTTTTCCCCCCCCTGATCGGAATTGTGGCCCTAAGGTAATTGTAGTTTTAAGGGCATTAAAATTTTATTAGTGACTTTAAAGCTATAACAATTGCTTCTTGCATTTAAAATGGCCAGAAAGTCAAGAGTGAATGCCAAAAAAAAAAAAAGTCTGGGCTTTCTGATATCTATTTCCTCTTTTAGAACTCATGGTACAAGAAAGGTCCTTGGAGTCTTTATTTGTATTCTTAATATTTAGAGTCTTTTTTTTTCTTTTTTCATTATTAGATCCGAGTTGGATCCAGAGTTGCCTACAGACCAATATCAGCATCAGTGTTATCTCGACCAGAGGCAAGGACTGGAGAGGTAATGGGATTAATTGTGGAAATTGAGCAACACTACTGAGTATTGTTTTTATTGAAGAAAAATAGAAGGGGGCAGAGAACAACTCATTAATGGTTTGTGGCAATCCTTTTCCTAATTGTATCCAAAATGTATAGACATCAATCACAGAAAGAAATGTATGCACCCACCTGAGTTAGTTATGAAATACAGTATTATATTTAAATTTATACTTGGATTGCCTTTAGTTTTACCATTATTATAGCTATAGTTCGTGAAAATTAACTGAAAAGCTTATTTTTGCACTGTTTCTTGATTTTCAACAAACCAGTAAAATAGATAGAGTGTTATTACATCATGATGAGAATGATCTAATAAGCCCTTGATTTTGCTCTAGTGTTCTGCCACTTCCCATTGGTGCTGAGCCACTCGATAGAGAGGTGTAGTTATCATTTTTTGACAGTACTGTAATTAAACAGCTGTGATTGCTGATTTGACCTTTGCCTTTATTTCCTGTTCTCTAGGGCTCAACGGTATTTAATGGGGCCCAGAATGGTGTGTCTCAGCTAATCCAGAGGGAGTTTCAGACCAGTGCAATCAGCAGAGACATTGATACTGCTGCCAAATTTATTGGTGCAGGTGCTGCAACAGTAGGAGTGGCTGGATCTGGTGCTGGTATTGGAACAGTGTTTGGCAGCCTTATCATTGGTTATGCCAGGTAAAACTATTGCCAAAAAAACTAACTTAAGAGCTTGCTTGAAATAGTTGGGAAACTTAGAAAACTAGTGAAGTAAATTCACTTCGGGCAATTCACTGAAGTGTATTCAGTGCTTGCTCTGTGTCTTGCATTGTATTTGTAGGGCTTTGTGTGTTTTATTTCCTAATGCTCACAACACCCCTTTGGAAATATACTTCATTTGACCTATCAAAAACTAGAGACAGATTATACCACTTGCCCAAGGTCATAGGTAGTAGTTGTCAGAAAACAATATAGGCTGCAGTGATGATACAATGTAGGGCATTTGCCTTGAGTGCAGCTCACATCCCCAGAATCCTATATGATTCCCTGAGCACCGCCAGGTATGGCCCAAAAAAAAGAAAAATTAGGAGCCGGAGTGATAGTACAGCAGGTAGGGCATTTGCCTTGCACACTGGCCTGGACTCCATTCCTTGCACCCTAAGTGGTCTCCAGAGTCCTCCAGGAATCCTGCATGCAAAGCCAGAAATAAGCCCTGAGCACCACTGGGTGTGGCCCCAGAACCAAAAAATAAGAAAATACAGCTCAATTTGGCTTCAGAGTCTGCACTCTTGAATACAAGGTTATATATATTATATAGCCACAGCTTCCTACCTAGCCGTATTTGATTAGAAATTGGGGCAAGGCCAGATGTAAAATAAAAGAGATTTGGGTAAATCTTTGACCACTTAACCATTTTTTAAAAAACCCTCCCCCCACACAGACTTCTGCATTACTAATATGATTCTTTGTCATTTATCAAATTAGAAATCCAAATAATAACTTTATAGTAATAAGTGTGTGTTGTGTCTCTTTTAGAAACCCTTCGCTGAAGCAGCAGCTCTTCTCATATGCTATCCTGGGATTTGCCTTGTCTGAAGCTATGGGTCTCTTTTGTTTGATGGTGGCTTTCTTGATTTTGTTTGCCATGTAACAGAAATTACTGCTTGAAATGTTGGCATTCATCATAATTACGGATGTAATTCTGTGTATCTTACTGTGACTCCGAACACTGTAGTATGGGTGTCATGGAAATGTATGTTATTTCCAGTCATTTCATTAAAGATGAAAACTTTAATTTTTGCTGTGATTTGTACTTAACTTAAATTTAGGTCAACACAAAGAAGACCCCGCATTCAGGCAGGTGCTGTCCAAATGAGGAAACTGCAGCAGTTGCCCTATTGACGGAAAAGATCCTGATGTACTTTTTCTGGGTATTCTCGTGTGTGGTGTTCTTCACCATGTTAATTTATAGGGCTTTTGTTTATAGAAATACTGGGTGTCTTGAGTGTCTGAAATCTTATTAAAACCAACAGTTCCTCAAAATGTTTGTATATACATGAGTTACAGTGCTTGGAAGCAGACTTGGCTGGTTTCACACAATTGATTTTTAAAATATGTCAACTTCCTAAGAACTAAAGGCTTGGGGCTAGAGCACATGTGTTGTATGTAGGAGGCCAGACCTCGGTCTCCAGCACTTCATGGACCCAGAGCACTGCTTGGTATGACTCTAAAATGGGAATTGAATACTTTAGGGCCCAACAATGATTGCTGAGTGCTGTGTGGACTGAGTCAATCAGGACAGTCCCACTGTTCATGATTCACTGAGAGAAGGGGCTATAAGATAGGTTCATTTTTCTGGGGGTGGACCTCTGAAGCTTTTCAAGGGGTCATGCTCAGCAGTACTTTGTCGGCCAGGCTAGCTGGTAAGTGCCTCATCCCTGTGGTTGCACGGGGCTTTGAGGACCACACCCAGTGATGCTCATGAGGCCATGTGGTGCCAAGGATTGGACCCTGGCTAGACACACGCTTCTCAGTGCCCAGAGGATAGTTGATGGAAAGTGCAGGGCTGAGTTCAAACCCTGGTGCTGACAGCCCTGTTAAGGATTCCCAAGGGCCTAAAAGGTGGCTCCATAGCTTTGAGCTTAATCCCTGGTGACATTACATGTGCCAAAGCTTTCCTAACCACCCCATGGTCCTGGGCTCCAAGAAAGGCTAAAAAAAGTGGTTTTAAGTCTTGTGAAATGGAGGGTGAAGGTGGAGTTTATGCTTTTCAGAAAGACATTAAGCAATTGGATAACTATAATAAACTCTGTCTTGTATAAGATGAAATTGAACTGGTAATTCTTTTCCTGCTTGAACAAGGCTCTCATAAAAAGCAGACACTAGAGGCCCTAGAGTGTAGAGTGGGTAAGGTGCTTATCTTGTATGTGGCTGGCCCAGTTCAATTCTTGGCATTTCTCTTGAGTACTGCTAGGAGTAACCCCTGAGCCTTGCCAGGTGTGACCTCAAAGCCAAAACATAAATTACAAAGCTAGATTACTTATATTTGATTATATTGGGGGAGGTGAGGGGTTGATCCACACCTGGCAGCATTCAGAGCTTATTCTTGGCTCTACTCAAGGGTGACTCCTGGCAGTGCTGGTGCTACTCGTAGTGCTGAGGACTGAATTGGGTCAGCCATGTGCCCGCAAAACCCTTACCTCTTGGTCTCTTTCCAGCCAGTTGGTTATTTTTACAAGTGCTATACCTGTGCTGGGGGGTTGCCAGGGCTAACCTGGTATTGCTGGGGGTTGGAAGAAGGATGTGTTGGAGATTAAAGCACCTGTGGTAGAGCACATGTCTACCTGTGTATGTGCTCTACTACTTGAATTTTATTCTCTGCTTTATTTGATTTTTGGGGGGGCTTCACCTGGCAGTGGTCAGGGGTGATTCTTGGTTCTGCACTTAGGAATCACTCCCCGCAAGTTTGGGGGACCATGTGGTTGGACGCATGCAAGTCAAACACTTTATCTCTCCAGCCCCTGGTTCTTTAATCTTATCTATCACATAAGTCCTCAGAGTTTTATTTTCTGAAGTACTTCCCAGTATTTGAATTCAGCAAAGTAAATATACTGTATTATGTGATCCTATAATTATACAATTATATACCGTTTCATGGTATTTAATGAATTAAAACCAGTTTTTCAAACAAAAGCATGTAAATGTTACTACCACTGTTCAAAATAGCCAAAAGGTGGGGACAATCAAATATCCAACTATTGTATGAATGAACATCTATCTAATAAAATGGTACATCTATATAATGGGATGTATCCAGCCCCAAACAGGGAGGCACTGATACTTGTTTCAACATGAGTAAACCTTGGCCATACACACACACTCTGAAAGAACCCATACAAAACATGATACATGCTGTATGATTCTGTATGAAATGCCCAGAAAATACTATTCTAGAGACAGATCAGTGACCAGAGGCTGGAGGGAGTTGAGTGGGAGATCACTTTAATGACTATTGGGTTCCTTTGAATAAAATGTTATGGAAATAGATGAAGTGTTGAATGTATGACATTGTCACTATACTAAATAACAGAATTGTACATTAAAATGATAAAGTATGGGAGTTAAGGTGCATGCCTAGTATGTTCTGACCTGGGTTTGATCCCCAGCACTACACAGTTTCTGTGTTCAATTTCTGACACCTACCCCCCAAAAAGTGGGAGTGGAGGTATTTATTCTGTGGTTGCCTGATTTACATGTTGGAGTACAATACATGTGCGCGCGCGCGCGCACGCGCACACACACACACACACACAAAACACTAAACTGACCCTGAACAACATGGATTTTGTGGATTGAAGATACCACAAAAATTCTTACAAGTTAAGGATAACAGCATTTACATACCCCACAAGATAAATACACCTAATCATAAACAAATAGGAAGATTCTGCTCTGAAATAGTGGGGGAACTTTGTACCCAGAGACTATTTGATCTAAAAAAGAAAAACATTGTGTAATATGATCAAAATGTGGGAAATACATCCCCTGTGCATATTTATTTTGCAGCTAAAAATTAGAAAATTCTGACATTGAAAAGACACTGGGGGAAAAAAAAAACACTGGAAAGATTGATTCCAATGGCAGGTTTATTATATATATTTTTTTAGACTTTTGGGCCACACCCAGTGATTCTCAGGGGTTACTCCTGGCTTTGCACTCAGGAATGACTCCTGGTGCGCTTGGGAGACCAAAAGGATGCCAGGAATCGAATCCAGGTTAGCAAGTGCAAGGCAAAGGCCCTACCCACTCTACGACCTCTCTGGCCCTATTATACTATTTTTGTAGGTAGTGCTAATTCCCTCAAATTGACAAATTTTTGTTTGGGGGACACATCTAGCAGTGATCAGGGCTTACTCCTGGAGGTCTCAGGAACCCATATAGGGCACTAGGGATCGAACCTGGGTTGGCAACTTGCAAGGCAAATGCCCTACCCACCATACTATGACTCAGGCCCCAACAATTAATATTGATTAAAAGAGTTTGAAAACTAAGATTGGTGGAATAGGATGTCTAGATTTCGGACAAAGAATTGGAGGAGAGGCTTTATACATCAACTAAGTGTCACTCCATTATAGGGACTCAGTGTATACTGTGTCACTTAACCGTCATGGCCACCCTACAATATTTGGAAATCTTTATGATAGCAGAAAAAAACCCACTCTGAGGAATTAAATGTTTCCCAAAATCACACAGCTATAAAGTATCCAAATTCAGATCTTCCTTGATTCCAAAGCCCAAACTTGCATTTTTAGATGATGAGTACCATAGGGATGGCCGGAGAGAAACTGATTTTATTTTATAGTAGAATTTTAAATAAAAATTGATTCATAATATTAGAAAAATGCCTAAACTTAAAAAGAGAGAAGAGATGCTTATGCAAGTGTATCCTGGAAGTGGATGGGTCAGCCCAATGCCCACCCAAACAGAGCCCCAGCAATCACTCCAAAGTTGCCACCGTATCTCCAGCCAGACTCCATCATCTCAGGACTGAGTTCACCCAGAAGTCAACCTGCCAAAAACTTAGGCTACTGGCTTAAGAAGTAAGTGAAACATCTGGACAAGAAGTGAGTGCTAAAAGGGGCAAACATAATAACCTTTCAGTACCTGTATTGCAAACCTTAATGCCCAAAACGAAAGAGAAAGAGCACACACAAGAGAGAAGAAAAGTGACTGCCAAAGGCAGGCTGGTGGGTTGCTCGGTTGGAGTGGGGAGGTATGGTGGTGATAGGGAAACTGGGGTCACTGATGGTGGCAAATGTACACTGATGAAGGGACGGTGTTGGAACATGGTATGACTGAAACCCAACCATGAACAACTTTGTAACTGTCTCTCACTGTGAGTCAATAAAATAAAACATTTTAAAAATATATCAAAGAGAGGAGAGGTATGGCGTGTGCAAAGGGTATGTATGAACCAAAGAAACGCAGAACGGCAGTAAAGATTCAGCTCCAGGTAGACAACAGGAATTTGCAATGATACTCATTAACCTGGTTTTGTGCCTCTTCAGTACTGTTAGGAAGCCTATTAACACAAGCGAATGTAAAGAGCAGTGAGGGTCACCAGGGCTTATTATTGGCACTAAGAAATTACAGAAGTTAAGGGGACCTTAAGCAGATAGTGAGCAAAGGTTACAGTTTAATGGGCTGACCTGTGAGTTTCAGAATGACACAGAACAAGTGAAGCCACATTGGGATAATATATTAGAATAAAAGGGAAGGTCAAGAGTTGCCTGGGAATATGGCAGACTAGGAAACATCTGGAATCTCTCTTCCCACCTACACAAAATATACACAGTCATAATCTGTCTCGTAATTATTTTGGAATTCTGGATTCTATTGAATACTTCTAACTCCCGGGGCTGGAGCGATAGCACAGCGGTAGGGCGTTCGCCTTACATGCGGCCAACATGGCCGACCCGAGTTCGATTTCTCCGCCCCTCTCGGAGAGCCCGGCAAGCTACCGAGAGTATTCGATGTGCCAGACACAGTAACAACAAAGTCTCCAATGGAGACGTTACTGGGCCCGCTCGAGCAAATCGACGATCAACGGGAGGGCCTTTACCTTTACCTTTACTTCTAACTCCCAGTGGAAGACTTGCACTGTAAATCAGGATTAATTTCAGTTGATGTCAGCTTTTAGTGGAATAGCAATGATCATTGCCCAATCTTGGTCTCTGTGTAGAAAGCCACGCATGCATTCCAGGGAGTGACTACGGTAGGCAAAAAGAAAGTTGT